CTGGGCCATGGCGTGGGTGGAGAAGGGAGGGAGGAGAGGAGGGGATAGAGTCGCAAGGCAGAAGAAAGACAAGAAAAGACTATGCGGTTTCTCGATAGCTGATGTGCCGGAGTAGTAGTGTGTCTCCGGGAGTGGAATTGGCACCGCTGGCATGGAGGGGAGGCAGTCGGTTGATCTTGGGTGGGGCGGGATGCCGAACCAGCGGGTGCAACAGTCACTAACAGGGGAGCCCGCTTAGTGGGGCTTGACACTCTATGTATTTCGGGCATGGACGACTCCGTCTTTGGAGATGTCGTTGACGAAGCGATCTGTATTGGAAGATTATACGGTGGAACTGGGTTCCAACAGAGGTTTTACAATACCATTACTCAAACTTACATCCCAATAAGAAAGGAAAAAGGCCCCTAGCATGTTCACATGCTGGCGTTGTGAGGGCTGCAGCTGTCTTTAGCTGTAAGTGATGGTCAACCAAACTAGGGCAAATTGCAAGCAAAATAGAAGCCAAAAAAAGATAATGAATGAGGTCGAGTTAGGTAGCGACCAGTGGTAAACTTGGGTTATCTGGGCTACGAACCCCGACCTGAATTTAAAGCTCAAGCTGAGGCGTTACTATCTGGACTGGTTATTCACTGACCTCGCGTGTTGACTGAGGTGACTCTATTTTGGGTTATAGCACAAACATAAGCGCATCCCATTTTCATACTCCAGGTCCAGCCGCTGCTTCGTAGGGGGCTTCTATGTCGACATCCAGGCCAATCCGGATATTCTCCCCCAAGTGTCATCCCGTCTTCAGTGCCCGTAGTCGGAGTTGGAATATCAATTGATGAGGTGGGGTTTAGGTAGGTTGTTGTTAGCGGGATCTACAGAGTATCCACCCACCTTCAGGTGCTGCATTAGGTGGGTTGAACTTTTTTTTTCTGCATCAAGCTCAAGACTCGATCGAAACGAAGCAGGGCTTTCGCATTGCAAACTACCACGACCCCTCGAGCCATTTGGTCACCCGATACGCCTTCCCAGGGAGCGAAGAGAGGGAGCCCATACAAAAACCATGGCGACGGTTCCTCAATTGCTGGAACCTGGGCAGCGGACCAAACCCGGAGACCTCGCGATCGTCCTGCTCGCGCGCGACAACTATGAGCCTCTGATCCTGGAGCAGTCCACCGGGGCTGTCGACGGCTACGCCGAGGGAGCAACGCTCAACACTCGATTCGGATCGTTCCCTCACTCCACCCTCCTCGATATACCCTGGGGCTCCCAGGTTCGAGCGTCGGCTGTCGACACAGGCTCTCGAGGACGTAAGCGAAGACGAGACGACTCTGGAGACGATGCCTCGACACCCGCTCTCGAGGACACCGAAGGCACAGCTACGCCGACGTCCGCACCGGCCAAAAAGGCCGTCACAGCGTCAAGTGGGTTCATCCATATTCTGCGCCCGTCCCCAGAGCTATGGACCTACAGCTTGCCACACCGCACTCAGGTGGTGTACACGCCAGACTACAGTTACATTCTCAATCGCATCCGCGCGCGACCCGGGACGAGGATTATCGAAGCAGGAGCTGGGAGCGGTAGCTTTACGCATGCTTCAGTACGCGCTGTGTACAATGGAGCCCCCAAGTCCGATGATGATCGAAAGGGAAAGGTATTCAGTTTCGAGTTCAACGAGTCGCGTTTTCGCAAGATGGAGGAGGAGGTGGAGTCACATTCCCTGAAAGATTTCGTCTCGATCAAGCACCGTGATGTGTACAATGAGGGATTCCTGGTTGATGGCAAGTCTCCCATGGCGTCGGCAGTCTTCCTCGATCTGCCTGCGCCTTGGAAAGCGATCCGTCACCTCTCGCGAAGGCGGCCGCAAGACATGGAGCAAGATTCCAACGATGGTTCGGAATGGGTCTCGCCCCTTGACCCTCGGAAAACTGCCATGATCTGTACATTCTCCCCATGCATTGAGCAGGTGATACAGACTGTCAGTGATCTGAGAAAGTCGGGGTGGGTGGAAGTGGACATGGTAGAAGTGTCAAATAAGCGCCTGGTTTCACAACGAGATCGCATCGGCTCGTATCTTCCTAAGGAGAAGGGCGCCAACCCCAACCCGGCAGACGTCACAGAGGCACTTTCGAAACTGAGAGAGGTTAACCAGAAGACGAAAGAATTTACGCGGATCAAGGCAAATAGAGGAGAGGAAGGGCAAAACGACCAGATGGATGTCGATGGCTCAAACTCGGAACGCGAGCCCAACGCTAACAACAAGTTGGATGAGTCCTCTACAGAGAAGGTATGGATGCAGGGCCGGCTCATACATCGGGCAGAGTCAGAATTGAAATCCCACACATCTTACCTCGTATTCGCGACTCTGCCTCCCGAATGGAGTGAGGAAGACGAGGCGGCGGCATTTGCGAAATGGCCATGCGGAAACGAGGCGAAGGTGGTCGGGAGCCTCGACAAGGCGGCACGAAAACAAGAAAAGAGAGATGCACTCCATTCCAAGAAGAAACGAAAGCAGGACCAAGCCAACGGCGAGGCACAGTAGAGCTGTTGGTAATTGTTAGCTACTTTGGGATAGAAGCGTTTGGCTACACCTAATGATCGCACAGCTTTACAATTCTCATCGGTTCTGGTTTCATTATGATGCGCTTTGGAAATTATTTGCTACTGTGAACAAGATACTCGGCTAAATTAATCTCACAACCCTGAGTACGACTTGCGTATGTGTACTTTTGAAATGCCCAAAAATAAAACCCAAAAGAAGAAGCACATGCGGTTATTCAAGAAGACTAACGCAGTAGTCATCTCACAAATCCTAAGAGCACATGACGGTGTGTGCCTGGAGATGTCAGTACCCAATTTTCAAGGGAGATTCATACCTCATCATTCAAAACCATAAACTCAACATCCCTAGAAAATCCCCCTCAGTCCTGGACACGAACGATCAGCTTCTTCTTAGCATGGCCAGCTTGAAAGTACGCAATAGCTTCAGCCAAAGCCCCCCAGCCTGATTCTTTGTACAATTCACAGTCAACTGGGACAATGGCTCCGTATTCGATGTGGCCCTCAAGCAGGGGGATCATGCGCGTCGCCTCATCAGTGACTTGACGACCGAGGGTGGTGTCTCGACCGAGATGGCCTGCCTCTACACGATATTCCTTGATATCACCAGGAACGTCGATTTCGGTGCTGCTTTTGTGATTAGCTTCAGTGGAATCCATTTGAGGATGTCTTTCGGCCAACGTACAAATCATCAACGGTACTGAAGTATTTCTTTGATCTGGTGGAGTTCTTCAACGCCGCCAGCGCAGCATTCTGGCTGACGCCACTTGCATCGAATACAAGGCTGAAATCACCACCGGTTATCTTCTGGATCTCTTCCGCCTGACTCTGTGACGAAGAACGACTGTTGAAACTGGCATTGGCGCCACGGCGCTCGACAGTCTATTCATATAGCACGTTAGATTGAATGTAAAAATGAGACATTGCAAGGAGGCTCATACGGAAACATTGGCGGTGGAACAGGAGGCGGCAACTTTGTAGCCACACAGCCGAGCGAGCTGGATCATAGTTAGTTTCTCATTACGAAGAAGAGATAGAGAAGCATCTGGCCTTACCTGTATCGCGTACTGGCCAACGGTTCCGCTGCCGCCAAGGACGACGATCCATTCGTCCTTTGGGTTGACTTCTTGACCGGGCTTGGGCAGAGCGACATCTCCTCCTACAATGATGCCGTATGCAGACGTCTTGATTCAATCAGCGAGTGAGATGACCAAGATGGGGGAAATTCGCGATAGAGTGTCATACCAATACACCCACCCCGACACTGGCAGCGACCTCGGCGTCTACCCTCTCTGGCCTTTTGAAAGCCAAGTCCTCGTCGACTAGAAATTTGTCTTGAAATGGAGAGTAGGGATTCTGGCCGAGGCGGCAGAGCCCAAAGACGTGGTCGCCAACTTGGAGCTTGGTGCAGTCGCTGCCCACCTCGTCGACGATTCCGCAAAAGTCAGAGCCAAGAATGGCGGGCATCTCAGTGGTGAGTATGCCGCTCTGGGCCATTATAACCTCGCTGGGGGAAGATGAGACAATTCATTGCTAAAACCCCTAAGATAGAGAAGTAGGTACTTACATTGGATTGAGAGCCACAAACTGAGATTTGACCAGCACCTGCTTCTTTCCTGGAGATGGGGGGCGGATGTCCCGGACCACCCAGAACGTATCGCCCGGCTTGTCAATTACAAGACCAGCTTGATGAGCCATGATGTTGATGCTTCAATGTATTGGGGGAAGTTGGAGGAATTTGGGAATAGTCTAGGACTGAAACGAGGGCAGGCCTGCACTTTGAAGGAAGATTACACTCGGATGTTAGAAAGAGGAGTTGTTTATCCTCGTATCTTTCGTACCCATGAAGTATTCCGGTATTCCAACAAATATGCTTTTGAGGCTGCCACACCTTCTGCTAGATGAGGGGACAACCCCTCTTAACACAAATTCCTTGACTGGCGTTAGCATGTGAACGGCTAAATCATCTCGAGCTATCGTTTGAAGCTCCGAATGAACACTTCCCTGGAGGTCAATTCAAATTTTAATCATATTAATTAATTGCCGAGCTACTTGCCTGGAACATTCTGGCCCAACCGCCTTCATTGCACTCCATGTTCTAAGTTGATCGTTAATATGGCAATGAGTAGGAGGCTCGGGAAATATTGTCAAATACCAACAAACAAATGGACTTGGACTGTTGGTAGTAATAAACACAAATTTTGCCGTCCATATTATGAATCTATTTCAGCACATCAATTTCGTAAGACTGATATGTGTAGGTATGAAAGAATTGAGAAGCAGTCACAATTGTCCTCGGTGAGGCTGTGGCTGGTGCATGTGGCTGGAACAGCGCTAAACCCTGTTGAGACAAACGCCCCAATGAGCTCGACTTCAATCTCCAAATTTCAACGATAGATGCAGGAAAGCTTCCAACAGCACGCGACAAGACTCCTCCAATCTGTTCCCGCGCCACCATGACTTCCACCATCGGTATCCCAATCAAGCTCCTCAATGAGGCAGAGGTACGATCAAACACCCCCCACCTCGCGAGCCCGAGCTCCTGAAGCTAACCCGAGATCCCAGGGCCACATTGTTACCCTCGAAATCACCTCCGGCCAGACCTACCGCGGCAAGCTCCTCGAAGGCAAGTACAAACCATCCCCCCCTCGCTGGACCTTTGCTCAATATTCTTGGGAGTTCAAAATTGCTGATCTGGTGTTTTCCCTCATATAGCCGAAGACAACATGAACGTCCAGCTCAAGGACATCACCGTCACCGCCCGCGACGGCCGCGTCTCCCACCTCGACCAGGTCTACATCCGGGGCTCCCACGTCCGCTTCTTCATCGTTCCCGACATGCTGCGTAATGCGCCCATGTTCCGAAGCCGCAACGTCCGCGGGCGTGGTGTCGGTCTGGCCAGAGGTCGCGCCACTGTCAGCCGTGCTCGCGCCGGTGGCAGAGGCGGTCGGTAAATTTGGAGGACATAAACAGAAGGCGGGGGTTGGGATTTTGATTATCATGCTGGAGAGCCTGAAGAGCACAATGGCAAGAGAAGAGAACCTGGGTCATCTGTCGTGAGGGAGGTTGGCATGCAATGACGACATGGTTTGGTCGTAATATTTGGGTTTCGGCGTTTATTGGCACTCGGCGCCTAGATAAATATGGGAGCTGAACAAAACTGAGATTTGTCATGAGATGGAGATACACCGACTGCGCTTGGGGAGAGGGGTAGAAAGACATTTTGAACCAATGTTCCAAGCCGAGGCACTGCGGCAACGAGTATGTTGTGAATGAATTATGGAGCCTAACTCGCGACATTGATATGGTAATACATCTATATGGCAGTATGGTACATGAAGCCTTGTTTTATCTCATTCTCCCAAGCGCATCCTCCGCTTGGGCTAGTAGTTCCCGAGTCTTTTGTATTTTTGTTGAGAGCTCGGCATCCTCAGCAGGTTTGCCGCCATTGAGGGCATCTGCTATGCTCTTCTCAGCTCCTCGCACCGCCTTGCGGCCTTCTTCCCGAACGTCGCCCTCCCAGAAGCCACGAGCGGTCTCCCATTTCTTCTGCATCCTGCCTAGACTGTATACTATGCCCAATGCCGCCACGGCGCCAGCCTCGTACGCAGTCGAGACAAATGACGTGAGATATATCGTGGCTGCCAGGGATGAAGCAATACCAGATGTTCCTAGAGACTGCATCACAAGCTTCTGTGCTAAGGCTTGCAGGGCGGGGACACTCTCGTTCTGTAGATAGCGGCGGGTGAAGGCGATATGGCCTGGCCATCTTGGTAGGCCTGTTGGGATGGGTGCCTCCTCGCCTGAGCCTAGCTTTGTGGCCTTGTGTTCTAGGGCTTGGGATGACTTTGGCTGTGTGTAATTTGGATTTAACCCCTTGGGGCCGGCAATGCGGCCGGTAAGATAGACAATCTCCTGCTCTGCAGTGGGGAGAAAGCGTTGGCTGAGCATTTCGTTTGTAAGCATAGCAACGTCATCCACCCGCCAGAACAGCTTCCACCAGCCTAGTTTCCTCCATCTCCGGCCTGTGAATGCCTGGTCCAACTCGGACTGGAGTTCGGAGTGTGCGTTCTGTGACCATTGGGCAAGGGCTTGGTTCAAGTTATCCCTCTCAGGAAGCTCCTTTACCCCGAGCGACTTGGATAGCTCGCGTGCTTCCTCGCCATCAAGCTGGGCGGTGACGCTCTGCAGAACTGATGCAACGAGCCTCCTGACAATCGGCTTGGTTTCGCCATCTACAGTATGGATGCCTTGCTTGAGCCAGTGGACGAGTACAGAGACATTGCTAGCAGTCCATAGCTTCTCGTATTCCATGGCATGCTGAGGACCCTGGCGGAATAGTCCGATGGCCTTTTCTGCGAGAGAGAGATCTACTACTTCGACTTGGGACCCGGCTGCTTGCTTGCCCATACCTGGAATGTTTGTCGCCGCGATCACAGATTCAATATTGTCAAGTGCCTTGCCAGATGCGGCTGAAACGGAAACTGCACCAGAGAAGCCATCAGTGATTAGGATAGTCTTATGAACTGGTGTTTCGACCTGGGAATATCGATCTTCCCCGATGGGGATATCGACGACAGGGTTGAGAATGCTGCTCTCCACCGAAGAAGCTGATGCTCCCTCCGGAGGCGACATAGGAAGCACTGTATCCATCAACAGAAGCTCGAGGTTGGATCCGTTGAGGGTAGGTGAAGATATCGTAATTTCGTTTAGCGAAGCGTGCCGTTCCATGGTCAAGCCGCTCTTGACGTCGCCTTGCTGGATTCGCACAATGAGGGGTTGGTTTACATCGTAGGTATCCAGCTCCCGCTCCCACGCCTCTTGATCTACCAGAGGATCAGCTAGCAGCGCACGCAAGAGGCGTTTGGCAGTGCTGGTGGAGCTGCTCTCGTTCCCAAGGCCAAGGATGGCTATCCGTACAGCTTCGGTACCAGCCGAATGCCTTAGTCCCTGGAGGGCCAGCTGTAGTCTCGAAGCGTCGACTAGTGAAGGCGCATGGTTCTGGAGCTCGGTGAGAGCATGTTCGAGCTCTTGGCGCGGGTTCGAGGCGGGCGAGGACGTGGATTGGTGTCTCCGAGCGGTTTCGTCGCGGTGGGATCGGATCAACGGGCGGGACGCTGGCGCAAGGGAGCAGTACGGGCACTTGGACTGCGCCTGCGCTGCCTTGGGCCTCAAAGCCAGACCGAGGCGCCTGGCTTGAGGCAGCAAGCGCCTTGGAGCGGACATTGGAGGCAATTGGAGCGAGGAGCTTGCGCTGGTGATGACGCTGGAGAGCTTCGGCAGTGTTTAGGTAGCTGTGTTTTCTGCTGGCTGTGGGGATGCGGCTGTGGGAGGATTTTCCTGCCAATGACCAGCCGGTGCCTGCCCACCCGGAATTTCTCGCTTGATCAGTCTCGGCTTCTTTGTCCACACCTGCACCCCGCTGAATCCATTCTCGATTGGCCTGTGCCGCCTGGGAGAGAGAGAGTATCGCACTTCTCTATTTCACGGCTCTTCATTTCCGTGATATTAATGATGCCCGGGGTGAGAGTCTTGGCCGCCGCCCGCCCCGCTAACTCGGCAGTGCATCAAGATGCCTACGGTAATTGACGAACCACCACCCTCCGTTGGGCCAGGGCCAGCATCAAGAACGCCGATAGACAATCCGTGCGTGCTATGCCACCGGCCTGGGCAAGGGCAACGGAAGTCTAAAGGACCTTCTACGGCTCGGCCCATGTGTGTTCTTTGCCCTCTGGGTGGTATCCTGCTTACTGCGTAGACAGACATCATATCATCCGACACAGCCACATAGAGCTGTTTCGTTAATGATCGGTGCCAAGAATTGCTGTGCCCTGAACCCTTCATATATACTTCCAGACATCCCGAAAGGACTTTTATAATGCTAGGCGTGCTCTTCCCTTCTTACAAATAGCTTAGCTCACAAGAATCCAAGTACGATATGCTATCTAGACATCATGTTGTCCCAAGACATTCGAAACCTGATATCCAACGCCAAGACCCGGCAGTCAGACCTCAAATGGGTGTTGTCAAAAACTGAAAATGCGGAGTCATCGTTAAAGGAGCAGCTGCGTCTTGTTCGCGAAGCTGAGGCACGGCTCTCTGCTTCAGACCATAAGCTCCAGAGTCTTGAAGCGCAGCGGCTAAGGGGTCGAGAAGCTCATGAGCGGCATCGCGACAGTAGCTTTAAGCGCATGATCTACACGGCAGCAGGCCAACGGCACAGATTCCAGCACAGAGCCGAGGAAGAGGATAGGGCATACCTCGAGGTGCTTCATGCAGAGCAGGAGGAGTACAAACTGAATGAGACCCTCAAGCTCCAGCTCGATGGGGCACTGAAGGTTCAGAGGGAGCTTGAGGATGCTGAGTCGTTGCACCGGAGGACCCAGCGCCAACTCGAGGAGCTATATGAGGAGATCTTCGCGGGGCCGACGCCAGAGTTCCCAGACGAGGAACTGGCCGAACGGGAGGCTGAGACTTTTCTGCAAGTGTATCATGACACCCATGTCCGGCATGACAGAGCATCATCCAAGCTGGACTTGGTGAATAAGGCCGGAGAAGAAGCGGATGCTGCACTTTTGGAACTGACGAGGGCTCGTGTTGCATTCGAGGATGGGCAGCTTGATGAAAGATTCCTGCCGAAAGTGCAGCAGTGTCTGCAGAAAGCCGCGAGCTCAGTCAACATAGCCAAGGAGAATGCTTCCAAAGCACAGCTTGAGAACATCCCGAGGCCGTACGTCGACGGGAACAGCTTCATGTATAAAACAGAATTCACCTTTCAGTCCGAAATTCGCGAGACTCAAGTGGAGGTATCAAAGCTGTCTGATTTCTTGCGTAACGCCGCCCCCCAAATAGAAAAGGAGTTGAGGCAGGTCAATAAGGAGCTCCCTAGGGCGGAGATTGAATTGGAAAGGGCCCGGAAGAACTTGTTGCAGATACGAGAGAGGATCTTTGAAGCAGTCGCTGAGGAGGGCTCAGCTCCTCTTTACACCAAAAGCTGATTTATCCTCACATGTCTGTTCAACGTGTATTATTTTAGCATCAGTCTTTCTTGATTGCTCTTTTGGATACCCTGAAATCAAAGGAATGTACCTGATTAGTTCATATACTCTTTTCGAATGAATATTTAATTAACTTAGAGTTGTTATGTATGACTTTGTGATTGATGGGGCGACAAGCATCCACCAACGAACTCCTTTCCGGATTGAGATTTCCAGATCGGTCTCATTGTATGGAAACACGATCGTGGCTCTCACAAGTCTGGCTCACGATCAGATTTGGTCCCCTTGATCAACAGCAGCTAGAGCTCGCACTTGTCGGACTTCTTGGCATTGCCGGAGGCCGAGATGTTGCGCCCCCACATCTCCGGCTGAATGCCTGGGATTTGAACATTTTGTCTACATCTAGACGCCTGTACATGGTAATTCAGGGTCTTTGAGTGGCCAATTGCGATGTTTTGCAGTTTGTAGCAAAGTCGTGGACGTCACAGCGTATGATTTCTCAAGGGGTTTCCCCCCTACTTGAGTGGTATTGGCAGCTTTTGTTTAACCTTAAAATAAATGGACATCTTCTTATAGACTTGTTAATAAGGGTTGAGACCCTTCTGTGATTGCTTTCAGATTGTCTAGTACTCTCCTTGCTTCTGTATATAATATATTAGTGCAAGATTGAGACGTGATACCCAGCAAACCATGAGCAGTTCCTCTGGCAGATCGGGGGGTACGTTTCTTCCATCTCTCTTTGATGACATATAATTATTCTGCGTTATAGAAGATAGTTAGCTAACATACAAAAGGCTATGTCGACCCTGACTTCCCAAATCCAGGGGGAAAATGGGACACTCCCGTCATCATCTACGGCTACACCCCCAAGTTGTCTATCGCCCTTTTCGCCGCCATCTGGTTTTTGCTCCTATTCATCGTTCATCTCGCCCAATGCATCCGCCACCGTAGCTGGTGGTTCATCACCTTCCCTGTCGGTCTGGTGTTCGAGATCGTCGGCTATGTCGCCCGCTCACTGTCTGCCAAAGTGTCTCCCTACAACCTCATATACTTCATCCTCCAGTACTTCTTCATCGTCACAGCCCCGGTCTTCCTCGCCGCAGGTATCTACACCATTCTCTCCGCTCTAATATCTCGACTCGTCCGCCAATACTCGTTCCTCCCGCCCAAGTTCATCCTCTGGTTCTTCATCACCTCCGATGTCATTGCAACCATCACCCAGATCGCAGGCGCCGCCCTCATAGGTGTCAGCCAGACCAAGAGAAAAGACCCGACAACTGCCAATAACATTCTCCTCGGAGGTCTCGCATATCAGGTGTTCTCCATGGGCGTGTTCGTCCTCATGACCGCGACATTCCTCTTCCGCGCGCGGAGGGCCATCAGCGCTGCTGGGCTCACCACTTTCAGCTTGGTGTTCGCCGTTGCGGCCGTGCTCATCTATCTCAGAACCTGCTTTCGACTCGCGGAAACGGCAGAGGGGCTTGGAGGAGCGTTGCTGCGGAACGAGACCTTCTTTGCTTGCTTGGAGTTTGCACCTGTGGCGTTGGCAGTGTTTCTATATGCTATTTGGCATCCAGGAAGGTGTCTCGGGTCTCGCGTGAGGGCTGAGAGCGAAGTCAAGATTAAGGAAAGGACAACTGCTGTGCCCTTTTGAAAACAGTTCGTTGGCTTGCTAGCAGATGACTAGTCAATAGTACTCTTGGTACTCAATAAGTTCTTCTGAATGATAGAGATTGCGACATTTACCGATCAATATACTATTCTCTTCAAAGGAGACTACCACTGAAGATAAAATCATGAACTAGATGACTTTTATCCTTTATAAAGTCTTTCTTGCGATTTGGTCCTAGCTTTTGGGCATCTCGTAATCCTGAAATACTTTCTCCATTATTAATATCAACGACGGAGTTACCAACTCCTGACAAAACCCTGTGACGGTACAAGAACCGTTGAACTTGCATCACCAATAGATAAATACTTGCTCCAACCCTAACGCAATCGTAACAGAAATCAAAGAGACGTCCATTTTGACTAGCATTCACTAAACATGAAACTCAGTATTCAGGTGTGGAAAATGACCTTCCTCAGGAGGATTAGCCGTGTGATATTAAGATTAAAGGCTGATAGCCAGGATCAACTAATGTACATATCTATGACTCTATACCTAGATGACCACAACGGGAGCAGCAGAGTTTCCTAGCGACTCTGCAATTAGAGCTGGAGAGCGGCCATGGCGACACCGGCAACGACGGCGAAGCCAGATCCAGCGAGGGCACCGGCCTGCGGTTTAAAAGTCAGCTTCGAGCAAAGATATTTCAGATAGGAGGGATACATACAGCATTGACGGGGACGACGGTGGTGGTGGAGTTGCCGCCAGTGGGCTGGGCAACAGTGGTGGTGCGGACGGTGGTGGGGGCAGGAGCTCCGGGAGTGGTAGCGGCGGAGGTGGCAGCAGAAGACCTGGAGGAAGCGCCGGTGGCAGAGGCCTGAGCAGAGGAAGCCTTGGAGGAGCTGGCGGCAGCGGAGGACTGGGCAGCGGAAGACTGGGCAGCAGAGGATGAGGCGGCAGCGGCTGAGGAAGAAGCAGCAGCGGCAGACGAGGACTGAGCAGCAGCAGAGGAAGAGGGCTGAGCGGCAGCGGAGGAGGAAGGCTGGGCAGCTGCAGAAGTAGTAGGCTGAGCAGCAGCAGAGCTGGTAGGCTGAGCGGTGTTGATGGGGGCACCGAGATCTATAGAGAAGAATCATGTTAGTCACTGAACGGCAGTGTCGGAGGGTTGCTCATGATGAAATCATCACGTACCGTTGCACAGGCTGTAACCGAACTCGATGGCGGTCTGGTAGTTGTTGCCGCAGGAAGACTTGGCGCAGTCGATGAAGTAGTTCTGGAGGCTGGTGTCCTTGCAGAAGCAGAGGTACATGTTGGCCTCAGTGCAGGACAGAGGAGGGTGCTCAGTGATGACCTTCTGGAAGCATGAAACAGCGCATCCGGTCTGGGCTTGGGCCTGGCTGGCCAGAGTGGCCAGGGTGAGGGCAACGGCAGCAGCGAAAGACTTCATTTTGGTATTGGCGTTGAGAGTTATTGATCTGGAGATCGAATTGAACGAATGTAATATCTAGCGATCGTGGAAATGAGACTGCAGGACTGGGTTGGATGCGTGAGTGAGGAACAGGAGGAGGGAGCCCCTTAGCCTGGGAGGAGCTTCTTTATAGCTGCTTGATGCAGCTGGATCTATTGAAGAGCGGCTTGACGGCTTGGGCTGCGGGATAACCCAATATCGACCAGGGCCAGGGAGGATCGCTCACATCCAACTTGCAGCTAGCTTAGCGAGGATGGCCACCAGGAACCCAAGTTCCAAATGAAATTAGCCCAAAACAGGAACAAAGAGGCAGCTGTTAGCCAAACGGGTAAGCAAGTTTGGAGGATAGAGTGCGAGCTCGGAGACGGTACGCCGCAGGCAAGGGGGGGACGCCCAGCTCCACCATCATCTCAAACTGTGGCGGCATTGGCGATTAATTACGGGTTGCGGGTTTAGAGATTGTCCCACTCGGTGAACGTGAGTTCGTTCTAGTTCCAGTGGGACTCGAGTTGCCTCAATCGGAAACGGGAAGCAAGCTCTGAGCTTAGGCGTGGGCGTAGAGAGATCACGGCCCTGATGGGTGCATTGGGGCTGGCTCAGCTTACTGCCAAACAAGTGAACCAGCATGCAGATCGATATGGGAGTGCTCCCTTGCCATGAAAGTCCGTGTAAATAGGACTTCACTATGAAGCAGGGTGAATTCCCATGAGCTATTCTGGACGGACCAGATGGAGTGGGTATACTGAACAACCTCGGCTGCTGCGCTGGATAACTACCAGAGAGCTGCCTAGGTAGGTAGGTAGATACAAAAGGACATGACTGATCAATCTCCCATGGGTGTGTTTGTATGATCAAGTCCATAAGCATCATCGATTGTCTTAACATACCCGTGATGGGATGGTCGGTAGGGCGGATCGGACCAACCAAACGATCTTCCTCTCATGCCGGGCGGTTACGTCGGAAAGCCGCATCCTTGTTTCTCCCTACGTAAAAGACAAGGCCTCCATGCTGAAGAGCAGTTGTGGCGGCCTTGGTGGTGGTGGTCAATGGTGGTCAATGCTGGCAGTCATGTTGGTGGATCGTGGCAGTTGCTTGCTGATCCGGGTGGGAAAAAATTATCTGATCATCAGATACGATCGCCGGCGCTGATTGGCCGTTGGCATCTTCAGCACTCAAGGGCCTGTTCCTGGGGCTAATGCAAGTGACTCACTCGAGCCATATGGGTGGACAGGCCTGTGGCAACCTCGATCCTGTTGCAGGGTTCGAATTCCAGTAGTCTGTTTTGCCAGCTCCATCTTGCTCCATTGCCCAGACTCCAGACTCGGTTCGTTCGGTTACTATGTGCTCGATGGCCTCCACTAGCTCCCTCAGCTCACCAGCTTTCTTCATATTAGGTTATGAGGCGGAACATCTAAGGGGGAGAGGTTGTGGTGGTGGTGGTGGTGCTTCATATTCATGGCTCAGCTTGGAACAACAACATCGGTTCTTGATCGCAGGAGAGAGCAAAAAAGAGCTTCAAACATCACTCGAGACACGCGACAATGAGCCTTCTTCACATGCGAACTGGACCCTCGCTCGCTTCCTCGTTCCCTTCGGCTGCCGACTTCCGGATCTAACTGCCCATATCAGCTCCATCCCTGCCAGGCTGACCTTATTTTATGCTCTCCAGTCCGTTCATGGGACCATGACTCTGCTCGCAAATTAGACACCAACGGCCATGTGGGGGCCCTCCATCTGATAATTCACGCAAAACGAGCCAGCAGCAACCTCCATCTCCAGTTGCTTCATGTACCAGCCGTACTCCGTCTCCAATCCCTGTTTAAGCACCGTGGATTCCCAAAACACTGCTCTCAAAGGCATGACGCTTCCTCACGACCTGCAGGATAAAATGACCAACACGGGATGTTAAGAAAACTCTGACTCTCTCCTTGAGCTGCTCAACTCACCATCCATGTCTAGCTTGTCTCGGTCTCCACCGAGCTGAAAACTGATCTTATCAATCAATACCAGGACCAACCAAGCCGGCTAGGTTGGCCGCTCTGCTTCTATTGAAGCTATTGCCACCATCCCCTGATTAGGAAGATGAAAACAGTAGCCGAGGAAAATTTTCTCATTCACATCGGACGTAGGGGTTTCTCGAGGGCCGAGTAGCACCTACGGGTGAGTTCTTGAACAATGATTTGGATAGCAATAGAACATGCATCTAAACAGGGACAAAGAGAACACTTGGAAAATCTGACAGCTACACCTAACCAGCCTAGGGAAGCGGAATGCTGCTGCCCAGAGTCTAGGCTAATAAGGGCACTTCAGTCCTCCCGCTTCCAAATAGGTGGCGTTTTGTCCACGCTCAGGAGATTCCAATTCTAGTTAATTGGAGTGCACGCTTGTTCGTTTCAGCCACGATCACCAACATCATTTTGCTCCGATGCACCCAGCAGATGCCCCTGTCAGCCAATGCAAGAATATGGAGCTCAATAAGGACAAGGTGCAAAGTAGGTGTGGTAAAACTTTGAGCCAAGTTTGCACGCTCAAGCATACTTAGGTGCCGTCATCAAGAGCTTAAGCGAGTAGTTTTAGGAGTTCAGCTATAGCTCCCCGTTTCAGTGATATGAACCGTAAATCCTGAGAATTTCCTATTTTCTTCCACTCTATTCTACTTAGAGGATTACCCTAAATAGGAAACTCGAGAACATATTGCTGGCTCGCTTGGTAAATCCGGAGGCTTCTTTGCGATCTTGGCTGGCCGTAAGAGTTCATCCTCTAATCCGCATTGGCCACCGGAAGCTCAGCATCCACAAGCCATGGAAGATGCATGGCATATTCGTCATCCCTACTTCCCTTCATAGCTGCGTTTATGAAAAGTGTTTTCCTCCCAAAAATAATGGGATGCTTGTCGCCAGAACAGTGGCTTGTCCGATAGCATCTTTCATTATAAGCTGCTCTGGCCATTTCGGTCTTCTCCTCGACTACCTTTTCGTCGTCTTGGCCCGATCTTCGAAGTCCATCCAGATGTTGCACTAGAACGGAATGGTATTCGTCAACATCGGTCATGCGTGAGGGTCTTTTGCTCGCTGCATCCCCCCTCCAGGCTACCAACTTAGCTCCCCATCCTTCATGCGAGTGCCCAAAACAATGTAATCTAGGCCGTATTCTAGCTACCGCTTCAAATAGATGTCGACACCCGACTTCATCCCCCTGATAGTTAGCATCCAGGATTCCCTTTGGTGGACAGTGTGTCATGACCAAGTCAGTCCCCTCCTCGATTTCATACTTGTGACCCTCTGAAGGCTCGTATCTGAAGCCCCATTCCAACAACGATGGGATGTAAGGGCTTGCGAAGAGTTTGAGTGAGGCCCCATTATCTAACTTGAAATGGTGAGTTCCCTCTTTCAGGTAGATGATGCCTGCCTCCCTCGCTTCTTCCATTAAAGCAATGGCGTCTCCTGTTCTGCCATACTCCATCTCGCTCTCCTTTGTCGAAAGTAATTGGCGGGTTTTGAAATTGCCTCCGCGGAAGAGCGTTTCATCAAGGGTGAAATCATGATTCCCGGGAATAACCAATTTCAGGGGCGAATTTATACTGTTAAGGAGTGCCAATGATTTTCTGAACTCCGACATTTTCGAACGCTGGGTCAGATCGCCACAATGTAGAGCAACGTCAGCATAATGCTTTGGCGCAACGACATCGCACGTGTGAGTATCTGACAGAATAAGGAATCGAGTTTTGATGGTATTCCCTGTAGGTCTGAAGGGTCGTCGTGAAAAGGCATTGATGAGACTCATTTCTGTCAAAGTTAGAGTTAGAATAGAAATAATCTCTGTGCTGAGTCAAATTGAAAATTTCAGTGCTTATTTATCCAAGTTGACCTCTCCGCCAAACCTTATTCACGTTCAACTCTAACAACGCTCATAGCAACCGATCATTAAATGAGTTCTAACCACTTTCTGCCAATTTTTTCCGATAAACACTTTCGCTTCTCGAACAGGAAGTCTTAATCCCCAGGGCTTGAGAGAATGTTCCATAGTATAGGGTAGTGACGAAGATGGGCCTGGTACTTGCCTGACATGTCGTATATATTTTTATCATGTCTCCGCTACTTACGTATTAAACAAGTATTAAATTTAGAGCCTTTGAATTGCTAAGTGCTCCGCTAGAATACTAGTATGATTAGGGTCTGTTATGACGGTTGGCCGGCAGAAGAAGTTGGAATGCTTCCCAAACATGGGAAGGTTCATGGAATCTCTGGTTCATATGGTAGGCCGGCGATGAAAAGTTGAATGCAACCTCTAATCTCATATATCACGATAAGACGGGAAATCTGTGCTGAAAATTGACTATTTGAGCTGGTGATGCAATCCTAGCACCATATTTTCTGCCACGCTTCAGAAATTCGAATTAATACCCATGAGCATGGGATATTTACCTGAGAACTCTTAGAAAATTAGATCAAACGTTGAGTCCTGGCTTGAGTTACGTAGCTTTATGAGGGAGAAAAAACGATGATCTCTTAGTGTCTAGGTAAGCTTAGCAAGTTAATAACTACAGCGCGAAATTAAAGACACATCTTGAAATCGAATATCACTGATCTACGTAGAGAATAATTAAGATTTGTATCTCCTACCATGTGATCCACCTAAAACGAATCAGTATTCTTTGGGTACCACGGAATCTCGGAGATCCCTCGCGTTTCGAAGTAATGCTGGCGAGAATCCTGGGCGTGTATCCGAGAGGTCAAGTTACAGGTACGGGGTTCTCTTCCGTTTCCCTCTCCAATATCTCGTCCCAGGTCGTAAACTGCTCGTGTTTTGTCTTGAAAACCAATATCTAAGTGCACATCGGGTGCATTGCATATCAAGTGAACTTGACTTTTGTCAACCTCTTTTCCTGTGGTCCATCCATTGAACAGCAAGCCTATGTATTTTAGCTTTTTGAAGCGGCTACCCTCTTCAACAGCACTGATTAGATCTGCCACCTGAGACACTATCCCTAGGCCGCATGCACGGACTTTCAGATACTCTACATTCTCAGGCAGACAATCAACAAGCCGAGGAGCGCCCTCAACCTCAAGCGGCATTTGGCGAGCTACTGAGGCATGGTTCTCGGGCTTTGCACCAAGAATACCTGTTAGGGCTTGCATGCCCACTGTAAGCTTCTTTAGTACACGCATTTCGCGAAGTCTTATTCCCATATATAGTCTCTCAGGGCAATCATGCCAATTCCACCCTTTATCCCAATCCTCTTTCAAATTAATATAGAGATCCTCGAGTGTATTGCTATGTGGTAAGATAGCGTGCAATATATCTCGGGGCATCATTAGGCCAGATATAGAATAGCCGTGATGTGTAAATTCGAACTTTCTGAGGGCTTTGCAGACGCGCAGCATTTTCTTGAGCGCACCTGGCGTGAAGGCAGAGCAGTGCAGAGTAATCTCCTCAACTGAAGAAACCGAAGTACTCCTACGCAGAAGATCTCCAAATCTCCTCTCAGCAGTGTCATTCCCGCGAGCCAGAATGCACTCGTAGGACCGAAGCCGGGGAAGGGCAAAGAGGTCTGGACCGTCCATCTCAAACTCTGAGTAGCCGTGAATGTAATCAACGGTTTCGTGAAACACGTCTTGAACATTTGAAAGCGGGATAACCATATCCGGATGATTGCCGTCGCCCCATTCGGACCCGGGTGTATGGATGGAGGTATTAATATCAACCAGGTTTCGCACGAAGTTTAGTAAACGGGGGAAATGGCTTTTGTGTTTGGACATCTCAAACATGACTGTTCGGATATTCGGACAAGCCAGCAAAATCAAGCTTATCTGGGCATCGGAAGTGCCCCTCTCAAGGTCCTTTACCCAGTGATTATACCATCCCTTGATATAATCAGATGGTAACTGCCCTAAGACTAACTCAATATGCTGACGGTAGACAACAAGCTCGTCATCAGTGGGAATGGTTGAGTCCGGTTTCCCGTCTTCCGGATATTTTCTTCTTTCCTCGCCACTACGATTTGCAATTTGGCCAAAAATGACGGTGTTGACATGCTTGGCCAGCCAAGGCTTGGAAACAAGAATGTAGCGTAAGAACTGCGCGTTGCGGATCCGAGAACACGGTCCTTGGCCTTCAGAGCTGTGCACTGTGTTTCGAAACTCGCTCACAGAAATTGGAAGTGCCACCTCATAAAGCGTCTTGCATGTTCTCAGGACCGGTTGAATACTGGACCTGCCAAAGGAAGCAGCAAGGTGTGAAAAGATTTTGGCCTGAATCTCAGGCGGCAGGGTCAAGAGATTTCGGGGCTTTGGTTCGAGCGATTTTAGTTTCTCCATCGGCGAAGACTTCTTTTCCTTCTTGTATTTGTAATCCGTGTGATCAACTAGACAAAACGTTGGCGGAAAGTTGAGAGTTGAGAGCCTGAGAAAGTGAGTAGTGGGGTAGCAAAGAGCGTTGGTCAGCCAAGTGTTCCCTTACTGAATCAGCACGTGTTTCGCGTTTATAGGCAGGGTTTACGGGTTGCCGTAGCGGGTATGCGTTCATGCAAGCCTAGTCGAACTCAGCCACAGTCATGCAGCGAGGGTATCACATGACACATTTGTGAATTCGATGCCCAAGTGCATAACCTAGGGCTTTTCAATAGGCGGAAAGAAAATGGAGATATTCAGTATCGCAATGCTTAATGTATAAAAATCAATCTTACGTTGGTTCTTACTCGAAAATTACCTTGGCTTGGATCTAGTGAATTAGAAGTCTTTCTAGATAAGAATTGATTACCCTTGAGTGTTACGCCTAAAATATTACAATTATAACAAAACCCTAGATTACGTACCTAGACTTTCCTGCTGTCAATAAGTCATGGGTCAAGTTTATCAGTAACCCAGTCAAGCCTAGGAAAAATGGTTTAGGGATATAGCCCGTATTCGAAAGTTGAGGGCTGCAATCTAATCTGTTTAAATACGTATGATAGGTTCAGAATATCGATACGAAGAGAATAATATACTCTCGACCGTTTTGTCATTCCCGTAGCTCTAAGACACCCTAGCCAGTTTATGTAGTTCAACTTACGATAGTGTTCGGCACTCATCTGAGACTATCCGGGAGCGGATCCAGTTTTTCTATTCTGAAATCTCAAGTTTCAAAGTTTCGCATTCAAAATATTACTCTCAATGTTGACACTGTCAGATTGATCACTTGGTTGGTATGCTGAGGCGGATATTTGTTGCATGGAATGCATTTTCTTTTTCGCAACTGGCCAGTCTCAGACAATTTTTCTGTGTCATGTGTCGGGATATTAGCTTCCATGGCTTATGGCTGGAATGCCAATTATATCGAGGGAACTTTGGGAACCAGTAATTAGCCCTCTTACTTTGAAGATATCGTGTCATTAACATTCTTTCTCCCTTTTGCCTTTCTTTCTCAGCACCCTCGGTCCAATCAGACACAAGTGGTTTCGTGTAAAGCGAGGCGGAACCGGCGCAAGGCAATGCCCGATGAGAATAAGGGATTGCATTCTTGTCCATCCTTAAGAGGCCCCTCCCCCGAATATCTTGCTTGACAACCTTGGCTAACAGTTTATATCACTCGTCTCATCTATTCCGATATCCTACGTGTACACTTTCTACTCTGTCAAGATGAAATTCGTCATCACATTCTCTATTCTCTCATTGGGCCTGCTCGTCGTAGCCCAGCAAGGAGAGACCATCCATTGCGGCGGCAGGCTTCCAGCTTGCCCGCTAGACTACAAGTGCGTCCCAGACAGCCCAAAGTGCAACGACACTCGCAGCTGCGCTGGCCATTGTGAATTTATCCGCAAATACAGCGACTGCGGTGGCAATCGCATCATTCCGAAGAACTGTCCCTCCGGCAGCAGATGCTCTCCTGATCCTCGAATTCCCTTCACCGACTCCAACATGCCTGGCATCTGTATTCCCAACAACCAGCCCCAGTGCGCCGGGTTCATCGGCCTCTCGTGCCCCAAGGGACTCACCTGCTACGATGTCCCGGAAGACGGATGCGACCCTAAGAATGGCGGAGCAGACTGTATTGGAGTCTGCCTATAGAGATCAGGACTTCTCAAAACTTCAACTGGCATTACTGAAAGAATTTGGGCGACGAGAGGACAATTACCAGACTGACATCTTACTAATATGATTTTTGGTGAGAGTTCCATCACCATGTTGCGCTTTTCGCCCAGCTAGTGGGCTGGATAGCGTTAACGAGAAGGATAATAATTGATACTGCCTAAATATCAATCCCTGAGTTTTTGAATGAGTTATTTATACCCTTGAATCTGTGGTGAGGATATCGTAGATGAAAATCTAGTAATTGTAGGGAATACAGCTTCATTATTGTTAAACTTTATCATCATATTCTCCCACGCACGTAGGGAATACTGCGGCGATGCATTAACAGGCAAGCTTCCAAATTTGTAGCCCTGGTGACAACGGTAGTCATGCATAATTACTGTGAGAGAGTTTGGCTATAATTAAAATAACAATATTAGAAGAGGCTAGACCTAACATCTCAACCCAATGACTAGCAGTCATGCAAAATAATACATACCGACCTGCTTCTCAAGTGGCCGTGTAGTAGTAGAGATGTTGATTTCGAGTTAACTATTATCGATTGACAAAAAGGTAAGTAATGTGCTTAGGGCCTTATCCATATCTTGGACTAGGAGCAAGAATATCAGCCAGGTAAGAGCATGATGGAAGTAACAAGAACCAACCTTCCCTGTATGTTATTATAATATATGATTCTTATCTGCGAGTAACACGTAAAAGCAGAGTACAGACCACTTAATACCAGCATTTTAGATCTTCTGGCTATTAACATTTGCCCTACCACTTCAGGTCTAACATACAAACGCCTGTTCTTTCACCAGTTCCGCTCGGCATTTTGAAATGGCATCTTTTCCTGCAAGCCCTATCCTCAGAAATGAGTTTGTAGATGCTATGTTGAGAATATCTCTCTGTATTGAGGCCGAGAATGAAGCTTAAAGTGTAGTTCAGGCTTCTATTAGAACCGAATCTTGGTTCAGGCTAAACTATCGGATAATTTACCACCAGGCATTTTCTGCAGAATAAAGTTTATTTCCCCGTACCTTTCTCCATGATAGTTGCGAGGACCGAGGGAGAAGGTACTGAAGACCTTCCTGCTTTCATTCTCATAGTAGGGGTCTCCAGGCCACCTTTTAAGAGCAAACGAGAGCCCACCACTGGATTCTTTTCATCATGATGAGGGAATAAATTAAACTGGGAAATTTTCAAATATTTCGGCCCTGAATTTAAAAGATCAAGGAGAGTGAGGTCTGGAAGCGAGGTCCGTAGGTGCCGATAGTAAAATAACTGGCCGTTGATACAACCCTAATCCCACAACCAAACTCTGCTAGACTTATTAAGAAGAAGCATCCAAGATCAATTGAAACTAGCCCCGGCAACCAAAATGAAAAGAGTGGACAGACATCGGAATCGGGCAATATTCAGAGACATGCAAATTCATGGACTCACAACCAATGAGAGCTTGGACTTAGAAATAGCTGGAGTAGCGGCATGTGGGACAAAACAAGGCACTGGGTTCGAAGGTTTAAGCTTAGTATCAGCATCCATGCCTAGAAAAAATATGTGATTATTAGGATAAATAACCAGGGCCTCGATTTGTGCAACCACCCCGTCATATGATGAAGGGCATGAATTGAACTTTTGGCGACTCATCGTGTTGGCTGTTGGTTGCTGCCTGCAGGAAGGAGCCATTGAGGCGCTGCGCTCCGCTTATATATAATGTATCGTGTCTGTAAAATAAGCGTCCCAGATGGCAGGCAGCGCTCTAACACAACACAAAAGAAGGACATAAGTTCACGGCATCAGATCAGATCGGACCAGATATCATCTTGTCGCAGCATTTCGCCCACAACGACTCTTTGAGGCGGTCCGGTGCTGCCCATACCAACTCTGCCGCCATGCCTCCAATTCCATCAGCATCGCCCCTCCCCCGCCTCATCACATACTTCCAGACACACCACGACTCGGACGGCAACGCCATCTCGGTGCTGCCGCTCATCACCCAGCCCGGCATCTCGCTCACGCACCTGATCCTCGCGGCCATCCACATAAACGATGATCCCGCCGCGCTCACGCTCAACGACCACCACCCGTCGCACCCCCGGTTCCAGACCCTCTGGGCCGAGCTGCGCGTGCTGCAGGCCTCGGGCATCAAGGTCATGGGCATGCTGGGCGGCGCCGCCCCAGGCAGCTATCAGCGCCTGGACGGCTCAGCCGAGCAGTTTGAGCGCTACTACACGCCCGTGCGCGACCTGATCCGCGAGCACGCCCTGGACGGGCTGGACCTCGACGTCGAGGAGGAGACGAGCCTCGACGGCATCATCCGGCTCATCGACCGGCTGCGCAGCGACTTTGGCCCGACGTTCATCATCACGCTGGCGCCCGTCGCCGCGGCCATGCTCGACTTCACCAAGAACCTCAGCGGCTTCGACTACGAGGCGCTCGAGGTGATGCGCGGCAAGGACATTGCCTGGTACAACACGCAGTTCTACTGCGGCTGGGGCGACTGCAGCAACCCGCTCATGTACAATATGATGCGGTACAAGGGCTGGCCGCCGGAGAAGCTCGTCATCGGTCTGGTGACCAACCCTGAGAATGGCAATGGCTTCGTGCCCTTTGAGATGCTCGGCGGGGTTCTGAACGTCCTCGGGGCGGCGCATGGCAAGCAGTTTGGGGGCGTCATGGGCTGGGAGTATTTCAATAGCATGCCTGGAGGCCGGGAGCGGCCTTGGGAATGGGCCAAGTTCATGACAGGTTTACTTAGAGGTCACGCCTTGGAGCCTGAGAAGAAAGACATAGAGCCTAAAAAGAAGGAGGAAAAGACAAAGGCTGTCGTAGAAGTTGATGCGGATTCGCCCGATGGCGCTCCCCCTCAGCTTCCCAAAGCATTCGAGTATCACTCGGAGGGACTCGAGGAAGATTAGAGCTGATATACAATAAACTACTAGGTATCTAGAGAGCAAGCAATCGATGATTGATTTCCCATGATTTGATGGGATACGGCTTTTCTGCTAAATTCCACTGTGATGAAAGCTTGGCACTGATTGAAGCTACGCCCTCGGCTGAAGCTGAATCTGCCATCTCACCCAATTTTCAGCCTCATGCATACATTCACATGACGCGATGCAACTAAGCAGCCAGCGGCCTTTTCTGCCTACCGCTTCTCATCAAATGTTGGAATTATTCCGCTCAGATCAATCATGACACTCGGACTTGGAGCCCGCCTGCGAGCGACGTTGAGTTTGACCTCGTGGCTCAAGAATCTCCTGCTCCGGCTCGCCTCGCCCTTTTCACGCCTGAGACTCGGTTCAGCAACAAATGCTCTGCTCCAAACCAAGGCCTCTATCTTTGGATTTCGCCATAGCTCCCCAATAGACAACCAGCATATCAGATTGCTACGCCTCTCAGTCTCATCTCCCTGCCCCTCAACTTGTCCCGAGCTCTCAATCGAGACGTTTTCCATCACCGACTGCCCTCAATATTTTGCTCTGTCCTACACTTGGGGGCCCCCAGAGCCTTCCATTACTCCATACACCCTTTCCAATCGCCGAATCATCAGGATAGATGGTCGCCCATTTCTTGTGTTTCCTAATTTATTCGATGCTCTCACTCACCTTATCAGCGCGCGCCCCGGGCAGTACGTCTGGATCGATGGCATCTGCATCAACCAAGATGACCTCGCCGAACGAGCTTCCCAGGTATCCATCATGAACACAATCTACGCCGGTGCCATGGAGACTATCATCTGGCTGGGCCCTTCCAGTCCGGCCACCGAACGCGCACTGTCCAAGCTGGAGGAAATGGCAACGAATGCCGAGTCGCAGATCATGAAATGGGGCGAGGAGCAGTCCTTCGGCGATGCCTTCATCGCTGACGACGCCCGCGCCCTGGAACGGAGCGGCCTCCCTCCCATGACACGCAGCGACTGGTCCGACCTGGCCGCAGTCGTCACGAGAACTTGATTCAGCCGCGTGTGGATTATCCAAGAAGTCGCCCTCTCGTCGAATCCCACGATTCTAATCGGTCGCCGATCCATTCCTTGGTCTTCTCTGGGCAACGCTGCCCTGCTTGTCTTGGGGTCAAATGCTATCTCCGGTATTATGGCCTTTGGCTCAGGGGTTCAGGATTTCAGCCTTGTTCAGGGCATCGCCTTCGCCAGCAACCTGCAGATTCTGAGGGAATGGTGCCGCGGCGACGAGAGTCCGTTTCGAGATGTCGTAACAAACCATGACTTCTTGGCCGGCATCGACATCGATGACCATTCCCTCAGTGCTGCCTTGCTGAAAGTCCTCCTGATCAGCAAAGGATGCCAGTCGACATGCCGGCAGGATCGAGTATATGGCCTGCTGGGAATCGTCAACCACATCGCCCAGTGGACAAATGCTCCCGTTCCTAGTCTGGAGATCAACTACTCGTCTTCTCCCGACAAAGTCCTCACAGATATTGGCCTCTTCCTATATGACGAAACCAAGTCCCTTCACCTTCTGTCCCTCGCGGGAGAAGCGAGCAGGTCCCGAGTCCCGGCCACAACAATCCCAAGCTGGATCCCATCCTTTGAAATCGCCCACGTACCCATCCTAGGCCCGAACTATAAGAGAGTCTCCATCTTCAATGCCTCTGGCTCCTACACCGCGGGATTCCAAGTGGACAAGGCTCAACATCGTCTAAACGTCAAAGCTGCAAGCCCCAGTCTCGGCTCTATCGAAGAACTAGGCGAGGTCTGGCCCGACCTTCTAGCCGGCAAGTTTCTCAACACCATCACCATTCTCCTGCATTGCGGCGAGACGTACAAATACACGAATCAGCCTATCGTCGAAACACTCTGGCGCACGCTCATAATGGACACCAATCTCTTCGAGCGCCCCGCGCCCAGCGCGCTCTCCTCCTCCTTCAAATCGTGGTTCCTGATGCTCACCGTCACAGCCATCCTCAAAGCATTCATCAAAACCCCGCGCTTTACACACGACGTCTTTGATTCCCTCGAACCGCTCTTCGTCCTCTCCAACTCCCTCGATTCCACACATCTTCTACCGACCTCCGATGAGATGATCCATCTGCTCAGCCGCTTCGGTTGCTTCCCAGACCCAGCTGTACCGGTCATGACCGATCCAGAGAGGAACGAGTTCATGGAGCGGCTAGGTCGCGAAGCTGCATCCTACGAGGGCCTTCTAAGGGGGATTCTCCCGTTCAGTCGGCGGCTGGCCAGGACGGTCAGGGGCTTGCTCTGTCTTGTTCCGCTCACGGCCAAGGTTGGCGACAGGGTCATGATAGTCAGGGGATGTCCCACACCTCTGGTTATGAGGAGAGTCCCAGAGGAGGAGGATACCTTCCATTTGGTAGGCGATACGTACGTGCATGGGGTCATGTATGGGGAACATGTTGCAACAGAGATATGTTGGAGAGATATTGCCCTGATTTGAGATTGGTACAGCCATTCACGGCTCCTAATGATCCCTGGGAGAACACGGCTATGATTCTGAAAATACGGGCAATATTTGGGGCCTGTTTTTTTCTCCTCCAAATGCCCCCGAGATACATCTACAGTCCGCTAGGTCCGAGCAGCCGTCTCAGGGACGAGGCAAGCAAGGCCCTTCAGAAACTCCCAGCGGCTTGACTCCTTCCAACCCGCCTCATGCCACCCATTTGCCTCCTTTGGGAAGTACTCCAGCACGGGGAGGAGGGTGAAGTCATGAGCCGCAATGACCATGATCCTGTCATCCTCATCAAATGAGACCATCTTCTCAACATCTCTCTGCGCCTGCTCGGCGTCGTAGGGATGGCCGGCCTTGACTCTAGTGAAGGGGACGTCATTGCGACCTTGTGGGTGTACATGCTCAGTGAATAGCTCACCAGGACACACATTCAGGCGGAGATTGAACCTGGATTCAGGCCCGAAAGGAGAGGGTGTCAGCTCCTTAGGGATCGGTCGATGCTCGCTGGGCCGCCACTGAGATGCATGGTGACCGATATCCGCCCCCATGAGGATGAATCTCTCGGGCGAGGTGCTTGTCCGGGCCAATCCGGCCATATGGTCAATAGAGTGCTAAGTTCTTATCGTCAGTATCGTCATTTTCACCAAGTTGTTGGGGCAAACTCACACCAGGTGCTTGGAGCAGATAGAAGCTCCCGTCTTCGAAATAGTCGATGGCTGGAAAGCCCTCGATTGTTAACCCTTTCGACTCCTCTTTGAAGTCAAGCTGTCGGAGGTTTCGTCCCTCGTAATCCCTTTGGCCTATCATAGCTTCAGGGTTTTCGGGGTAACTTGGTAGCAGGGTCTCCTTGAACCCCGGCCCTACAATCAAATCGGTGGTGGATGGGAAGCCGTTCGGGTTGCCCGTGTGATCCATATGATGATGGCTGGAAACAAATGAGTATTTCTTTTTCAATATGTAACAATCCTTTCACAAACCTCCATATGATCGCCTCGATGGTGCTCAACTCCACACCCCCATCCTTCAGAACATCATAAACCTCTCGGCCGGCCACCAGGGAGAATGCCTCGTGGTATTTCAGCACCGCAGGGGGGTACTCCTCAGGTTTCGCTCGGATGCCAAGGTCAAACACGACCTTCCGCTGAAGGCTCTCATGCTCGACTAAGAAGCTGAACGCGGGGGCGTGCATCTTCTCCCGCCTCTGCGCCTCTGCCAGAATGGGCGGGTCGAGGAAGAATGCCATCGGCCCTGTGATGCGGGCTCCATTGTCAATCACCTTGACCTTGACAGCCGTCTGTCCACTGGGTATGTTAATAGAAACCATGTTGATTGCAGTTAGTCGGAAAGTTGGAGTCAGATAAAGTTCAGTGAAAAGATTTAATCATATAAATCGGACAGTCTGTGTGCTTGAAGTGGGAACAAGATGCTGATGAGCCGAAACAACTGAGACTTATATATGCGAGACTCATGTTGAAGTAGGCCAACTTGCTTCATCAACCCATCCTCGCACTCGCATTGTTCACATCTACCCAGAGACGCCCAGAAGGGTAACTTGTGAACTTTTACAGGGATGCAATGTCCATGTTCCCAATAACGGAAGATGTACCTCTCAACTAGCCCCTGCGAGTCTTAGCTCTTCGCTCTTCGGCACTCCGAGGATTGTGGCGATGTTAGAACTTGTCAACAGCACAACACAAAATCTCAACGATGTAGTGACTAGCCAAAGTCGACACAGCGGTCAGTCTCCCATCGAATACGCGGAATTCAAAGTCTCGCCCAAAATTGGAGCTCCGAGGCCGCCGTAGTGCATAATCCCGACCCAAGTTGCGTGGATGTCAGCTTCTTGTGCGTAATCCACCGCGAAAGATGCCCCATTTGGCATGCGGAGGACGGATTTAAGAAGCAGTCTTCCATCCTATCCGTTGCCATCTCACTGACCAAACCGAAATATCTGTATCAACCAGCTCTGAACACGCAAGCACCTATGAAGGCTTTCTAATTGAAAGGGTCTAGTAATACAGTACACAATAGTGCTCGCTCACTCAAAGCCGCAAGAATCACTCAGAGATGATCGGGCTCGCACCAAAGCGATTGACAGCAGCGTCATAGCTAAGCGCCACGATCTCGCTGGCATACGGACGCATCTCCTCTTCATAGGCCTGAATTACCTTTTTGCTCCATCCATCCCCCCCATCCATATGCTCCTCCAGCTTCTTACTCAATGTCGCCACGTCCCTAAGAGCCGTGTTGGCGCCAGAGCCTCCAGTCGGGGGCATGCAGTGCACGGCGTCACCGATGAGCGTGACCCGTTCCGACGAGGGCCAGGTCGGCACGCCGTCGATGGCCGATGTATTCAGTCTCAAGACAGCAGTCTCTGTGGATTCCTGCTGGTCCAGGACGGGCCTGACATCCGGGAGCCACGATTCGCCGAAGCGACGAGACAGGTCCGCGGCTTCTTGCGAGCTGAGCTTGGAGAGCTGCGGCCCCGTCATGCCCAGCCTATCCTCGGTCGTGAGCAGAACCCAGTACAGGTAATCGCTGGGTGCTCCCGGATGGCTGAACCGCATCGGCTCCGAGAAGAAGTTCAATGACCTCCCCTGGTCGTCCTTTTCTACCAAGATGGACATGTTTGTCGTCAAATCTGACTTGACGGATTGGACCAATTGAGGAGTGAGGATCGTCTTCCCAAATATCATCCAGGACCCAGTTGGCTTGGGCAGCAACCTCCCCCCAGCAAGCTTGCGAGCCACTTTGGAGTGCAGACCATCCGCAGCCACAAGGAGAGAGCCTTCACCGGAGGTTGTCCCGTCGGCGAAGTGAGCAGTGACCCCCGTGTCAGTGATGGTGTAATCCGCAAAGGCCTTGCCATACGTCACTGAATCTTCGAGCCCAGACAAAAGTACCGAGCGCATCACTCTTCGATCAGCAGGCAGAGAGAAACCCATGCCCGTGTTCTGTGGTGGAGGCTTCCCTCCAGAGCCCGGGGTCTGAGCAGGCGGCGGAGGGCCCATCCGTCCTGGCAGAGCTGCCCATGTTGTCGGATCCCGGCGGTTATTACTCGGTTTGCAGTTTTCTCCGGTGGTTTCCTCAAATCGTTTATACACGTCCTCCGGTACACACGTACGGAGAGCATCAAGGCCGATCTGGTTTATCCGGATACGGTAGCCCTGAGCGCGCTGATCGTTTGCAGCGTCGCGCTCAAAGATTTGAAACGGGATACCAAGACGCTTGAGCGATTGACCGAGTGCAAGACCCGAAAGTCCAGAGCCGATAATGAGTACTGGTTTGGAAGGGGACATGGTAGGTTATTGGTTGCAAGGACTAATATGTTAAAAAGGAGTGCGGCGTTGGTCTCAATTAATAATAGAGGACAGAACAGCTTTGCAATATGTCTTGGAGAAGTATCAGCAGCTGGTTACTTCAAGACATTTTATACTTTCTTTCGCTCGGCGGTTACATTTCCGAACAGCACATCAAACATGTACAGGTTGAAAACCGGAGCCGTGATTACTCGTCGGGCAAATCTACCAGCCGGTGCACTAATTAAACACCATCGTCCGCGTCAGCCTCGACCAACTCCGTCCGTAGGGCTATGGTCAGAAATGAGAGAAATGCCGAGTTCCGTGAATGGCTACTCGGGTCAAACTTCTAATTTGGTGTCAATGCTCGTGTGTTAGGCGACAGCCATAGCTGGCAAGTAAAGAGAATTGAACGGACCCTGGTCTCCTGAATAAGGGAAGAGATTCCGTACTAAGTTACACTTCCTATATACCGCCAACCAATCCTCATCTTACTGGGGAATCCCATTCCAGGGCTTTGGCGAAATATTGGGGTATCCAACGACCTGTACCATCCAAAAGGCCGATCACAGCCAGCCCGCATCAAGGCGAGAAATTCTGTGGGCAACGAAAATGCCAGCCTTTCGAAACCAGCTATCTCCTCTATCCTCACCCCTGGGTAGGAGACTCCTCAATCATCCCCTGCCTCTTGTACAATCTCGCTACAACTTGACACGAAACTAAGATCAAGGCGATTCACAATGACTTCCAATACATGAAGACAAATAAAGTTTCATTCAGCTATGAATTGAAGCAGGCGTTGGCCGTAACAAATAACTGGTCAAAATCAATTCCGATCAAGTAATAAGTACATCATGGTGCACCCGATTCCTTCATTTCAAAGGCAGTCGGTATTTTTGATGACTTCCAAAAAGAAAACAAGAGACATGCCTCCGATGTCAACAATCTCTACCACCTATTCAGTATATCATCCCCCAATCACTTGCAAACTTTCCAGGGTTCGCAGTTGGCCTGAATCGTGTAGCGGAAGTATTTTGGGTAACTCCCCTCCAACGCCAAAATCAGTGGGTCAAAGAAGCTCTTGTCGAAACGAGCAGCCTCGCAGGTTGAACAAGGACCCGCTAGGAAATTTTCGTACTTTGTGTTGTATGATATCTGTCCAACGACATGTGATGTGGAGGCGTCAATGGCTGTGAGACTAAACGCCTCGGGCATGACGACCCAGCTAGTAGAATTACTGCGGCCTATGGTTCCAGTAGGGACGACGGGATTCTGGTTGAACCAAAGACTGGTAAGACCTACGTCTCTCAGGGCCTTGATCAGAAGCAGAGTCATATGAGAGTCCTCGTCAATCTGGGTTCCAGAACACTTGAGTGTTATGTTGAAGCCATCTCCATGGATCGGATCGCCAATGCAGTCACCAGTGGTCCGGTCCCAAACAAAGTTCGAGATGAAAGCGTCCCAAGTGTTTTGCCAGTTGATGAAACGGGGGTTGACGGCTGCGCTAACGAGAAGGCTGCCGGTTTTAGGTGGCTGTGTAGGTTGCGGTCCACCACCTGTGGCAGTAGGTGAAGTTGTGAACACTGACGTAGCGGAAGGAGCGGACGCCGTTGCTGGGGTAGTAGTAGGGTTCGTCATATCATCTGGTCGTTTGGGAGGTTGAGAGTCTCTGTTGCAAACAAACGCAGACCAACAGATTGCATCCTCATTGATGGTCGTATTGAGAGCGCGACTGACAGGGCGTCCGCGGTAGGCCCAGCAGTTGAGAGACTGCCCACCTTCTTTGGTTCCGACAGCTGTTCCTGCCTTGAAACCATCCGGGGTGCCATCTTCAATGTAGGCCGTCCAAACGTCGCCATTGGGTAGTGTTGCTGTGACGCCTGCGGGTGTCCATGGGTAAATTCCCTCCTCAAATGGCACCTCCACAACTTCATTGGGGGCAGCAGGGTAGGAGGTGGCAGAGTCAGGCCAGGTGATGTCTTGATACCAGTTGACTTGGCGGGATGTAGACCACTCAGGGTGCTCCTTGTTGTCACCAATTCCACAGTCGCAGAGAATGAGATCCTCCTTGGGATACTTCTGAGCAGTAGCAACGGGGAGAAGGCTTGCAATCGCCACGACGTAGGCAATAAACTTCATGACAGCCATGATTGGGTGATCTTGGGCTTTCCAAGCGATGGAGCTTAAGAAAGAAGGGGCAGTGGACGATGATCACTGAGAGTTTGTCTAAACAGTGGTGTTGAGTTGAAGACTTGTGGTGAGGATGAAGGGTGAAGAAGCAGAAGTGCGAGAGGAATGGAAAGCCCGAGATATCTAGCTTGGGCTCCAACGTAGTACGTGGGCCTCTCTGCCATTGCACCTTCCCACCCTTTGAGTGAGGCGGATGTACCTCTATGGACATTGTACGATGGTGACGTTCCCTCCGGCAGGAGAAGTTCCCGGTCCAAACGAAGGAAGGTGCCGGGGAGAGGCTGAAGAGCGAAGCCGTATGGACTCCAGCCTCCAATGACCAGGTATTACGCATTCGAGATGGCCAAAGCAAGGAAAACTAAATATTAAGGGTAGCTCTAGATTCTTAAAGCCAATGTGTACTTCAAGGATTTAAACATATGTTTTCGCCGTGTGGTCGCATTCTCGCGATCCAGCCTGACCTGAAGGTGCCTGCCGTAGGCACACAGCAACTTCCCTAATAGAAGGGAAGTTAACACGCCACATTCCCACCCACCTGAAGAACTCGGCCCTTTTGCAGTATTTTAATGAGATGGAAGGTCATAACTAGGGCGATCCGCACCTGCCTGTACCCAAGGCAATACCAAGTGTTGGTAGGTGACGGTAGGCAGAGTCTACATTCAACTGTTTGCTATAGCAACGCTCCAAGCTAAGGTAGGTAGGCACCTGTATTGACACAAGGACCTATCCGTTGTAGGTTTTAAGTGAATTGATTGTATTCGAGTTGATTTCGTAGCCGAAGATGGAAATTCTCCTAGGTTGGTCGATACCGTAAAAGAAGCTAGTCGGGAGGAGGTGGGCTTTATCCATTGATGCTAATCAGGATGCGCTTTCGGGTTGAAGTAGATTATTCAAGGCCTATTATGATAGTAGCGACCGAGGCGTATCTTCCTAAGCAGCATCATGAAGCTTCTGGGCCAGACCAGAGCTAGGGAAGTCATCTTTCGGATATAGGGTAGCACATACCGGCCCGTGCATGGTCCGTAAGCGGAGAGTGGGACACAACCATTCTTCAAGCTGATGCACTTCGAAAACTTACTCCCATCTTCTACCTGAAAGCTACCAGTTGCCTCGATGCTTCCACGAATTCGAATACTGGCCCGCTGGCGGGCAGGGAAAACCCCTTCCCGTTCCTTGGCTTTCCCGACGGCCCGCTTCCAGTCATCCCAATCGACGGCCCAAGGATCCCGAATCGACCGTATAACTTCCAAGCTCCCGCGCCGATTGCAGAAGTACACAAACGGCCTTCGGAATGCGCCCGTATCCCACGTCGTTTCCTTCTTGATCCTGCACGAACTGACGGCCGTCGTACCTCTTTTCGTGCTGTTTGGATTCTTCCATTACACCAACTACGTTCCCCTGGGTTACATGACCGAACATTTCGGAAACTACGTCGACAGCAGCGTCGCCAAGTTCGAACGATACTTTTCGCGAAAGGGCTGGGCTGGGTTCGAGAAGCAGACAGAGGGGGTCAATTCCATCCCCAGAGCGGGATCCGAGGACCCCGAGGCCAGGACGGAGGAAGCTGTGCAGCGCTGGCAAAGCGGAGACCAAAAGTACAAGATTGTGGTGGAAGTTGCCCTGGCCTACGCTTTGACCAAGGTGCTCCTACCTGTGAGGATCATTGGGAGTGTTTGGGCTACGCCTTGGTTTGCCAACGTAATGGTGAGGCTTCGATCTAAGGTGTTGGGCAAGTAGTCAAGATATATGGGGAAAACAATAGAGTTCGATTTCAACAATCATTCTTCATTCCTAGTATTCTTTTATTTTTGGTATTCTACCGGCCATTTTTGACAACCAGATCATGTGAAGAGACTATTGTGCCTCCCAATATGGATTTGGAAGCTTAAGCCTTCTCGTAGATCCAGTCGAACTGGGCGCCCTTGTAGCTGACGGCCTCACCCTCCTTGAACCAGAGAGCAATCTCCTTCTGGGCGTTCTCGACGGAGTCGGAGCCGTGGCAGACGTTTCGGCCGACATCGATGGCGAAGTCACCACGGATGGTACCGGGGGAAGAAGCCAGGGGGTTGGTGGCACCGAGGATGACTATTGGACATGATTGTTAGTCAATTGAACCTGATGAGACACGTCTGCCTTGTAGGGATGGAGGGTAACATACCACGGCCGGTCTTGACGGCGTCACGGCCCTCCCAGACCATGGCGCAGATGGGGCCGGAGTTCATGTACTCAATCAGACCAGGGAAGAAAGGCTTGCCAGCGAGGTCGGCATCTGTAGCGCAGTGGTCAGTGTCGCGTTCGGTCAATCATGCTAAGCGGCGGGTTAACACTAACAGTGCTTCTCGAGGTGAGCCTTGCCGGGGGTGGTGAGCTTGATGGCGACGAGCTTGAAGCCACGGTTCTCGAAGCGAGAGATGATGGGACCGATCAGGCCACGCTGTAGAAGGAATTGTCAGCCATTATTGTCTATCATCATATCCAAGCTTTGCCCAATCTTACCTGGACACCGTCGGGCTTGATGGCAATGAAGCTGCCCCTCAGTTAGAAAAAAATCCAATCGGGAGACCGGGATGGGAAGCTCTCACGTCTGCTCGGAGGAAGACATTGTGGAATCGGAGGCAGGAATGCTCTCTGAATGTGGTCTAAGTAGAGGGGTTGAGGGAGGATCCGAAAAGACACGAGTATCTGTTCGGGATTGGGGAGGTAGGAAGATTATGTAGAGGGAGAGAAGGAGGAAGAGGAGGGAAAAAATAAGCGGGATTGTAGCCCGACGTGGTGGAGGGGTCTGCTTCTGGCTGCTCTCTTTTCGTAGAGCTGGAGCGGGGTCCTGCTCTTGGTGGGGTTCTTGGGCGGTGGACATGCTGCTGGTTGCACAGTGCGATTCGATGAGGCGTGTTAGGGGTTGGGACGTTGGGCTGCGTGTTCTCGAGGACAACGTGTAAGGGGCTAGGCCATTGAAGCTGCAGAACGACGCATGCGGACGCACAAACTCTCTGGTATGGTCTAGGACATCAGTCAGCTCCTCTGGCAATGCATACACCTCTTTTACTTACGTTGCACACGCCCGGCTTGAGCGGTTGATTCAATGGCTGGCCGTGGGCGCTGCACAGTACGGTGAGGGAGTAGCAAAGGCAAGCAGTCTGAAGAGCACCAGCACATGCAATTAGCGGTTATTAGCTTGGCGTAGCTCCCCATTAATAAAAGCTACTACCCCAGCCAACCATCACGGTTCCGGACACTAGGTGAATTGGCATGCACGTTGCGACTCGAAAGTGTTTTTGAAACAAACTTCTGTAGAACCTGATTGAATTTTCTTTTTGCCATTCTAAGCTAATTCATTCCGCACCCTTTTCCATCGTTCCAGCGATGGGGTTCCAAATTCTTTGCGACACTACATAAAACACCATTTTCGTGAGACTGAGAACAACTGATAGCCTGATACAGAAATATGTGAACCATTGACGACGTCGCCCTTTACTGAGAACCTTCAGCGGCTGCTACAACAGAATATTGTCCACCAGCACCGGCCCATGTCAGGTGCTTCGTCTTGACAGTCTTTCCCTTGAAGGGCTTTGCAATCTCTTCGTCGTCCTCAGTTCCTAGACCAAGTTGTCCACATGAGTTGATGCCAGTAGAGAATCCCTTGCCCTCGTCATTGATGAAGATGGTGTGATCGGTTCCGCATCCAACATCCACGCCCTTCCCAACGGCTGGGACAGGTACAGGCTGCAGACAAATTCTGGGCTTTTCGTGCTCGTCGCGTCGGACTACTGTTGGGTCATCGAGTTGCTCTGGTGTAAACTCAACTCCGAGCTGGCCGCCATCCATGCGTCCCCAAACCAGACACTGGCCGTCGAGGGTGACGGCGGCTGAATGATGCGCACCTCCATCGAGTGCCACGACACCTTTGCCTGTGAGACCGCGGATCTTCATTGGGTAAGGCAAAATGGCAGAGTCGCTGCCCGCATCTTTGGCGTAGCCTGCTTCACCAAAGCTGTTGAGGCCCCATGCCCAGACGTTATCCTTTCGATCAATGGCGAAGGAGTGGTAATCTCCGGAGGCGATGTATTTGATAGGAGCTCGGCAAACTCTGATCTGGCGGGGAAGCAGAGTTTCCTGGTGGCGTCCGAAAGGGCGGGTTCCCAGTTGGTTCTTCTCGAAAGCGCCCCAACCCCAGATCTGGCCGTCGGAACCCAGGGCAAGCACGTGGTTCGCGCCACAGGTAAGCTGAATGATGTTCTGAAGTTTGGAGATAAGGACTGGCGTGCGCTGGATTTTGATGACCTTGCCGTCCGAGTCATAGCAGAATCTTTGATCTCCGTTGGGATCCTGAGTATCATAGTTAGCGGCAAGGTTGGTTGAGTTCTTGGGAGTGGACACTTACACGGAATGCACCCCAACCATATACAAGCCCGCGGTCTGTGAGTGCAAAGCTGCAGCTGTCACCCGCGGCTACCTGGACAAATTTGGTGTCTTGGGGGAAAGAGTCTCCTGAAATCGCTGTTGGGGTAGACTCATGGGGATTCAAAGGCTCTTCATCGTCGCTGTCATCGCCATCTGCATCTCGGACACCCCCCTCCCACTGGGTGTCTCGGCCCAGCGCACCTTCATCGTTGACCCCCCAAGTGAGGATTTTGTTGTCCTTGGTCAAGGCGACTGAATGCATTCCTCCACATGCAATCTGAACTACATGAAACTTGGTGGTGTCCTGAGGGTCAAGGTATGGGTTGAAACGCGGGGTTGTGGCTGATGAGATTTTCATCCCAAGTCCCAGCTCACTGCAATCACCGCTGCCGAATGCGAAGACAGAGAGGGTTGCCTTGGGAGCTTTGTTGAGGGGTGTGTCAGAAGCAGAGCCTGCTCTGTTTCCTTGACGTCGTTGAGCTGGCTTGGAGCCATTGCGGGCGCGTTTGGCCCGGTTTTCGTTTCGAGTCGCATCACCTTGACGCTCGCGCTTGATAGGCGCGGAGTCTTAGCAGACACCTTGTTAGCACAGAGATAATATGGCTGATGTGAGACTGTCTGCCAATGATCATACGTGTGGTATGAGGACGAATTGGTAGACGAATCGGATAGAAAATACTCACTGCTAGCTCCGGCTCTTGAGACTGTAGCACGGGGCGCTTTGCTGCGCTGGGAGGATTGCTTTGGAGGCATCTTGATGGGTAGATCGTTGCGCAAGTGGAAGAATGAGGAGTTTGAACGGTAAGTCTTGCACTTTTGGATGAGATTTTGCCTTGAAACTATGCCAACAAAGAGGAGATGTCCTGAGAAGATGTAGGGAAAGAACTGTCTGCGAATTTCAGATTTCTTTGTGGTTGGGAGCTTTGTCTTTACACATGTCACGGGGACTGACGAAGCGCTTGGGATTGCCTTGGTAGCGTACCAAATGACCGGGAGTTCTATTGATTCTGAGCCTGCTACACACTTCTGATTTATTCTAGACACATTGTCGATGAGCTCTTGGAAAGACAACAATAGGGTCAGATCTAACTGGGAAGGCTTCTCGTCAATAAATAGGTAAGGCAGGTGAGTCTTGAAGCCGTTGGATGGCTTAGACAATGCAATTGGCGGATTATTCAGCTTCGAAACGCTCTCATTACTAAGCTATTGTTAGGCACTTCAATAGGCTGCCTTGCAACAGTCGGCATTGTCTTCCCATAGCACGTTTTTCGCCTTACTCAGCATCAGGTGGCCCAATCTCGTAGCATAATTCTTGACGAGCTCTAGACTATCGAAAAGACCGTTTCTATTACTGTGCACTTGCCTTTGTGCTCGAGGAAAAGGCGGTATGGTGGGACAAGAATATTCAGCTATCGGGGCTATGCCCCTCCATCAGCTAATGCGGTTAAGTGGACCCCATGTTTTCGAGACTCCAGGGCCTAATCAGGAACGAGCATCAGGGATAAGCTTGACCACGACATCCTTTAGCCCATGACGACGGAGCTGGCCTTCAATTCGGCTTGAGCTATCTCCAAACTGCGCCATTGAGGGCTACATCAGATACCAGACACACTCACGCTCGGACATCTTCCCTTGAAATAGATGTCGGGGTGATTTGTCCAGGTGCAGCGCCTTGTTTCCCTCCCACTTTCTAGCATCTTCAGCTGTGACTTCACAACAGCCTGGTATGGGGTTGGCCACGAGGACGCCCTCGAGATGGGCCACTTTCCTGGGGCTTCTGGTCGTATTTGCTAGCCTTTTCGAGCCTTCTGGTGAGATACAACGAACCGTTCCGGGAGGATTGACCTTATCGAGATACCTTGTGTACTAACATCGGCCCAGTTGCGGTCAAGGAGCACGACTTCAAGAAATGCCACCAGTCTGGTTTCTGCAAACGCAATCGCGAGTACGCCGACAATGCCGCCGCCCAGAAGTCAACCTGGAGCTCTCCTTATAATGTTATCCATGACTCCATCTCCTTCAATGATGGCCAACTCCAAGCCGTCATACTGAAGACGATCAATAGCGAGGGCGCCACCGAGCGCTTCCCCCTGACTGTGACATTCCACAAGTCCGGAACCGCACGAGTGACAGTCGATGAGGAGAAGAGGCAGAAGAAGGAAATCACACTGAGACACGATAGTCAAGCGAGAAAAGAGCGTTACAACGAGGCCGAGAAATGGGTTGTTGTGGGCGGTGTCGATAAGGATGAGAATGCCAAGATCTCCCACCAGGACAAAGACCAAGTCAACATCAACTACGGCCCGGACTCCAAATTTGAGGCTGTCATTCGACTGTCACCGTTCGAGGTTGATTTCAGACGAGATGGCGACTCTCACGTTAAATTCAACGACAATGGCCTTTTCAACATGGAGCATTGGCGACCCCACGTCGAGAATCCTGCGCCCAAGGAGGGAGAGGAGGCAAACCAGGTGGAGGTTGCCCAGAAAGAGGATGAGAGCACCTGGTGGGATGAATCCTTTGGCGGAAACACTGATTCAAAACCTCGCGGCCCTGAAAGTGTCGCGCTTGATATCTCCTTCCCTGGGTACGAACACGTATATGGTATCCCCGAGCACACAGGTCCGATGTCGCTAAAGCAGACGCGGGGAGGGGATGGTAATTTCGAGGAGCCTTACCGCTTGTACAACTCGGATGTTTTCGAGTACATTTTGGACAGCCCCATGACTCTTTATGGTTCTATTCCTTTCATGCAGGCACACCGAAAGGGCTCGTCTGTTGGAGTCTTCTGGCTGAACGCTGCTGAGACTTGGGTGGACATTGTCAAGGCCAAAGACTCCATCAACCCCCTGAGCCTCAGCACTCCCAAAACGACAACCAAGACCCATTGGATCTCCGAGAGCGGTATCCTTGATGTCTTTGTCCTCTTGGGCCCCACTCCCAGGGATCTCACAAGCACCTATGGCGAGCTTACTGGCTACTCTGCTATGCCTCAAGAGCTGGCCATTGGATATCACCAGTGCCGATGGAACTATATTTCTGATGACGATGTCAAGGATGTTGATCGTAAGATGGACAGGTTCAAGATTCCCTACGATGTCATTTGGCTTGACCTCGAGTATACCGACGACAGGAAGTACTTCACGTGGGAGCCTCATTCTTTTGCTGACCCTATTGGCATGGGCAAGCAGCTACAAGAAC